GAAATTAATCGTGGTAAACCTAGCTCTTATCATTCGCTTTTAGTTTTGTTGTTTTTGCAATTCGACTTTTCTTGTGAGCTCTAAAAGTTTGAATGCTTTCTTATAGTGACATTCGGCAAGAAATAAGGACTTCAGCTCTGTCTATGTATCCAGTTGGAGAAATGTATCAGAGCCAAATTACTGTGACAAATCCTGCGTACGTGAAATCTAAAACAAACTTTGGCGAAACCAGTAGTTTACAAGAGAATACACCAATGAGGTGCCTATAAGTACACGCAAGGATTTACCAACGGTCGAATCTATCACTGTCGTGACCGTGCGACTCTGGAGGTTTGACATAAAGGTGGTATGATATCGGGGTTGTCATGGTTACGTTGTCATGTCACTCATAACTTCTTTCATAGAAGGCTCGAGTTTAGGATCATAGTAAAATATTTAAGGTACAAGGAACAATGGCATTGCTTTACAACTCGCATTGGGGGTCGCGTAGGATTGACTATAGAGTTTGTTACAAGCGGTTAATATTCTAGATATCAAAAGATGATCTTTTCCTTTATTGCGCTGTAGTCTTACTCCCGTATAGTTTCACTGCATCAACAACTGACATATACTAAATCCATGGTAAATTTAGAAACATAATGCTAACAATTGTAAGTGAACAAGTTGGTAATTCAATCGTCCTTTAAATATGGCTAGTGTCGACGCAGCAACGATCGATTCATGGAGAGCCCTCCAAGGGGGACACAGTTGGCGGCACCGAGTCTCGAATTTGCTTGTCACTGTGGTCTGCATGGGACAGCCTCTGGACGCCTGCGCCTACAGAAGGACCATGTGTGGCTTGCGCTGTAACGCCCACAGCTTCATCCGCACACCCTATAGCCAGTGTGAACCCGAAGGAATAAGACCGAGAGGCATATGCATCGAGACTGGACCTTACCGTATTTCGAAGGATTGTGTACCTCTTTGACCCACTGAGCTATATTGGGTATTGCTCCCGGGCCCCTTTAGTGTCAATACCATCAAGCTGGTCAATGGGTAGAGATCAGGAAAACTCAGGTTGGGGGTTTGAAATGGGATGGCATCCATTTCTGTAATAGGAAATGATTGCCATCTCCCACTACCTTGCGGAGAGGATTTTAAGCCAAACGCTTTGGCTGAGGACCCTAATCGTCCTCCTCTTTAGGTCTCGGCGCCCCGGCAGTACCTCAGTCCACATGTAATCATGACAGTTTTCTTAAACGTTAACTACATCCTGCATCGGCTGTAGGGCAGTTCATCAAGGGTCGTCTTATCTGTTGCATACAGCAGGGCGAGTAAGCGAAAATACACTATTGCTGGCTCCTCCTCTCTTTCTTTTCTACCTCTCTCTCCTACTACCCACCCATTCCCCATTCACTGGCCTTCCTCCTTTAGTTCATAGTTTAGTGCACAGCAACCGCAGTGCCATTGGAGTCATGCCATCTGCAGCTACCTTCAGGCACCACCCACTGGACGCCTATCAGCAAGTCCCTTATACGGCCACGTTGCCCGGTTTCGCTGACGGCGTCCAAAGCCCACACTCTAAGACAAATAGGTCAAAAGGCTGCAGTCACCCTCATATTGGATACACTGGGGGTTGACGAGTGTTGCGTATCCAAAACTGGGATAAATGCCTCTCATGGGGTTGTTGAATTAACTGTGCCCGGCTTGTCCTCTCGCTACTGGCTGCATGCATCTAGAGACACGGATGCGGCAGCCTCTGATTAAGCTGGGGTATGTATGGTACTCAGCTTCTTGGCTGGGTCATAGTTTGTTAATTGGATTCCGGTGAACATCCGTTTGTGTGTAGCCCGTTTGACGACAGCGATCAAGGTTGATTCACGAAGTAGAAAAATACGCTATTTGTCTGTGATTTCCGATTATGCTCTCACCGGCTGCAGTTCTGTTGCTGCCAAGATACATTATACCACGAACTGAACGCTCTACTACGCAGTGATACTAGTTCTGATATACTAGTACTTGCAGGGGATATGAATGCACATGTAGTGCATCCGAGCTCTTTTGAAGCTCAGGTAGAGGGTAATTATGGGATTAACTCCGACTAGACGGACAACGGCGAGCTTTGCAACAGTTTGCGAAGCACCAACTGTTTATTAATAGCACCGCTCTTTGTCACACTGGGCGCCAACGTGTCACTTGGCGTCCTCCTGTAGCTGGCCAGGGGTAGACCTAAGTTGCTCACATTGCCGTAAATTACAGGTGGTGTGCTTCCATCATGGATTGTCGCTCGTTCTGGAGTACTTGCGTCAACTATGATCATACCTTGGTACACAGTGGCTTTGATTATGAAGCGGGGTAGTGAAAGCCGAAGGGAAGTTGTCTCGCCGATGCCAACTTTTCTTGATGGTGTGCTGTCGACAAGCTGGATAAGCCTTGATCCTGAATGTTCGCTTTGGGCATTAGGGTATTCTAATAAGTACCATTCTCTCCATGTTATAATTTTTCGTTCCGTAGGTCGTTATGGTTGTATGGCAACGAACAATCACTTCAAATGACTGAAGTAATGATGTTGCTGATGAGGATGTGGATGATGTGGATTGGAACCACGTAGCTAGCTCACACTCAATCAGTATACACAGCGGAAGCACTTATGCCTATCGAATTTTGGAACCATGTGTACCAGGCCGTAGTCCGCTCCATACTGGATGGAAGCGCTCACTGTGTTTATCACGGCTGTGCAAACCGCCCCCTTAGCAACGATCCACTGTCTCCTGGAGCCAGTAATCTAGGTGGAGTGTGTTAGCTAGGTAGGTTTTAAATAAACATTCACATCAAAAGCATTCACACGATGAATATCAAAAACCTATCCAGAATCTGAAGGAAAATACAAATGCAACACAGAATATGCACCAGAATAATAGAAGTGTGCACATCAAAGGAAGTGGCGTAAATTTTATCCAGGTTAGGAAGATAGAGTTTAGGTGTAAGTCGGTGTAGTCCAACTGCTGTGAAGAAGTACAATGTATGTTGAATACCGAATACTGTATTATAGAGCAAGTAGAAATGAATTCTGTACAACTCAATCGAAATATGGTGACAAACGTTATTAACATTGTCAGCCGTGAATATCGTTATCGTTCTCATGTAATATTTGAAATATCTGACTCACGGTATTGCAGGACTCACAAATCTGACGTCATCGTAAGTGTGCAATTGTTCGCTGAATCGAATACTGCTAAAATATAAATCTAACAATGCTTTGAACTGCTGCACAGATGTTGCCTCCATCACATGTTCAGGCAAACTGTACCAAATATTTACCACTCTCCGTTCACAGCACAGTTTGTGGGAAACACGCTTCACATCCGGCACGACAAATTTGTATCTGCGTTCGCGTGTGCTACACGGCCGTCGTAACTGCAGCATTGGTCTCAGCATGGGGCACTCACCGAGATGTAGCATACGGTAGGTCATGATGAGGTCGACTCGCATCCGACGATAGGACAAGGTGTAGAGTCCTAGTTTTTCGTACCGGTCAACCTCACGCACTGTATTAGGCCCTTATGGATGACACATAAACATAAAAATGCTTACACGGCCCTCCAGACCGCTCCACTCTATTAGTTTCATGGACTGAACTCAAAAGCTTGTAGTACTGCTCGGTTCCAATAAGGAGCGGCACGCATGATGCGGATAGTGCAGAATCAAGTAGGTCAATATCAGGTTGTCACGTAATCGGCGATATCGTTCGCTGAATACCACCTATCGTTTCAACCTCTGTTCGTATGGGAGATTGAGCACATCACTTAACTAATTGAATGTTCGATCTTGAATCTGCTCCAGTACACTGAGGTCATGTTCCAGCCATGGTTGTCAGGCCAACCATTTTATCACTAATCTGCATGTTATCTATCCCAGCTGCTGCTCTCCCTATATCCGCATAGGTTATACATTATGGAGAAGAAAAGCAGCGTAATAAAGCATAATACTATACGTAAACCTACATATTCCTGGACTATCAAATTTTCGATTTGACTAAGATAGATAAAATTTGACAACTATTATCAGTCAAGGGGTACCTGACGCTCTGAAAACCATCGAACGTCCGACTAATCTTTTCGGGGCCTTGCACATTCCAACTGCTCAGGAGTAACTGATACTGTCATGATAACTTTGTAGAAAGATCAATGAGTCCACGGCAGATTTTGGAATCTGACATACGTTATGATTTAGACACCAAAGAATGTCATGCACAGAACAGGGTGGAAGACTTCCATACGTTGCCATTTGGTTAAATAATAAAACAATGAACACCGTAGATGAGGTGTCATAAATAAGGATGCAGTAACTGATTAGGTGGTTTATCAGGAATCCTTCCAAAATATACCAGATGTGTTAGCAAGCCTAAGGAAAGTACAACCACCGGGTGTGCGTTTCTTCGTATTTAGAAAGGATAGCATCAAATGTTACGAAACATATCAGCAGTTACGTTCCACTTCCTTTGAGAACCCAAGGCTTTATACTGTTTTTGTTTAAGATTTCATACATTATGGTGTTAAATATTTAGCTAACCTCATTAGAAGCTTTCGGTAGCTCACGAAACATATGGCGCCTAGCTGTTCTTCCTTCGAATGACATGTATATTTCACTCGAAAATTTGGCATCATTAAGCTTCTGGTTATCAGTGGCTAAGTACTATTCTGAACCATTGTAATAAGGTAAATTCACAAGCAACTTACGAAAATAAGGAGTTATTAGGCGATAACTTATTGCTGCATGCTTAATGAATTACTGAACTAACGAACAGCCTACGAAGAGAAAAGGCTTAGCTTTATAGCGGGATGTAGAAGCATAAAACATTTTATGTACAGTATTTGATTTGAAATGCACGGTCTTATTATTTTGACACAACTGTGAGGTTAAATGAAAAACGATGATGGTAGATGCTTTTCTACAAGGTAATCTTTCATATCATTTAGTAGAGCCAACCAACATAGTGGAGGGAGTAAACCGTAAGCACTCTGAATTCGATTGGTTTATTAAAACGAGTGCGTTTTGTGCGTTGCAAATCTCCGTAAAATACAAATACTAAAAACGGAAGCCATAAGTAACCACTGTTTGTTTGTGAGTGAGATTTGAGTAGTTAGTCGATGTAACTGTGCGCATGCCCTTAACAGTTCAGCAAGCAGTTTCCATTTTGAAAAGGAATTCCATCTATGAACAAAAGGACACGAAATGCGCGGGTAGGTGAACTGCGTTTGTGTATCACCTGAGAGCATTTGTAGTCAGTCTGATGTTTCATGCTTGGGAACAGGATGCCGCACAATATTACCGTTAAAGATCACTCGAGAAGTTACAACCCCAACTCGGTAGCTTTCTTGTATCGTAACTGGAATTGCTACGTTTCTCGAATCATTGATTCCCACTCTCTTTCTCGATCGCGTTCTCTTTCACGGCGTTCTTTACGTCTCGATCGAGATGATGCGTTAGATTCCTCCACATACACCGTGCGAATCTCGCGCCCGCTAGCCTGGGCTAATATCCATTGTTCCATGTTGCCATTGAGCATAGAGAGCTAAAAGAGACATGGAAGGTGGACTTTCTATCAGCGCTGTTTGTCTACACAGATTATCATCGAATCTCATTCGGCTGGAATTTAAATGTCAAAATTTTTGTAGCTGCTGCATACTTCGGTTCATAAGACAGTGAACGGATTGTCAGCATCAAGTATTTTGTAGTATCCAAATAGAGAGACCTACCCTTTATGTGTGAGTTTATCATGATTCGGGTATTCAACGGAGCTGTCTTAATAATTATCGGTCATCTGGTCACACTGTTCGAAGTGGATAGGCATAATGCTCTGGTTGAAGTTAAGCCATAATATATATTAAGGTTTAAAGCTTCATAGATATGGACGCTTGGACTTCATCCCAAAACGGTGCTTGATGAGCTAACCTGTTGCTGTATTTGTGAAACCGCCCGAACAATACTAGACAGAGCTTTCTGGTTTTCTCCAATCAACTGCCGAACGTGCATTATTTCTTCCTTTATTTTCGCATTGCCAGAGGCACAGTTCAGTAAATCAGATTGAGCCTGTTTGAAGAGTAAGGGAAGAAAAGGATGATATAGAAACAAACAACGAAGTTCTAGGTCAGCTGTCCATAGCGTGTGTCCGATATTTTAATCACGTTCTGTTTATTTCGTGTTCAAATAATTGCTTTATCCAATTATTCGAAATGCTCTTTTTACGCCATTACAAGTACTGGATGTCTTTGGCATCTAAAAGAAATTCCAAGTTTGATGGCTGGATCATGTTCGAAGTAAAGTTAAAGTAACGAATTCAACTACAGCTGTAAAGTTGGACGAAAGTACTAGTGAAAGCATAAGTGGAATGGGAAAAACGGTGGGTCCCTTAAAAATACTGACAGCATCGTTTCAATTTTCCGCTGTACAGTGCAGTCGGGCCAGTTTTGTGTGATCACTTCCCAATTTGTCGCGAATATACGGCTTGTTCGTCGTCGGAAATTTATAGATGACTGTTGAGAGGCTGGTGACGGCATTACATTGCACAACAGTGGAGCTAATAGTTGCTGACTTATAGCTGAGTCACTTGAAGAAGCAGACCAGGCAGCAGAATAAAAGCAGATTTCAGTAACTAACTGAAACGGATTACTTATTTGCCTATCATCGGTTTCGTGAAGTATACAAAAAAGGGTGATTGAGCAGATGACAAGATTTCCCTCAGCCACAAAGTTGTAACTGACTAAGTTGGCCACTTTCGTTTGTGAAAATTGCAACACTGTGGGGTATGACTGCATGTTTCCTGATGGCGGTGTAATAACACAACAAACTGAAAGTGTAAAGTGCCACCAACCTGAAGATTCTGCAGTCGCATATCTAGTATTTTCTGTGTCCTTTGAATGCTATCGAGCTGTGGAAGTTGCAAGTTAAGAATTGGCATTGTGCCCAAAAGGGTTGGATTCATGCCAACGTTTCCTCCAAATGATGAGCATCGTCTGCTTGTACTGTACGTGAGCCTCTTAGTGCGTTTTGCCGACGGTTGTCCTGAGGAGAAAGTGATTCCACCGGGTGGAGTGGGTGAAAAGTTTTGGCTTTGACCGTGGTCTGTGGACAGGAAACCTTTGGCCGCAGACGGAGGTGGGTGCGTTTCATCGGAGTCTGAAACATATAATGTCGCTCCAAAGAACTCAGCACGAAAAATAAGACAGTGAAAACAGAAAACTGTAGGGTAATTAGCTGCAGAACATTTACGAGGTCTACAAACACACAAGAATTAACTAAACTAGCACAACCATAGACATAGTTCGAACGGCGATTAAGATGCCGCCAGAATTAATAATTAGTATTTCTTTAATCACTCAAAAAAGTGGTATAGCCTCCAAAAACTAAGTTGTGAGAAAAACGCAACCAAAATTTTAGTGGCGAAAGTTAATGCAAATTGAGCATAATAACACGTAGTGGTCATATACATAAACAAGACAGACATTTTGACCAGAACTCGTGTTATCATGTTATACAAATAGAAATGAGTTAACCGCATTATCTGTAAGTTTATGTTGTCGGCGTAAGCTATTCAACCAACAGGAATGGATCAGGATGTGAAACGCTACCTATATACCATTCCTCGATCAAGCTGTCCCCTTGGACAACAGAATTAATCTGAACGACAAAGGAGTCACACTGAGAGGTATACAAGATGAGTCTGTGCTCAATTGCTTTGCGTGCACCACTCACTTGTGCAGGTGTGTAGGTGTGCGTGTATAGACAGGCGCCTTCAGCCAAAAGGACCACAGACGCACTAAGTCATAGGGATGCAGGTTGGACCCTTCAGCTCCTACCAGATACAGTGTCGGTGGCCGATGCACCATGTGGGCCTTTGTTTCTGTCCAAGGACGAGAGAAGGGATTTGAACGACGATTGGGTTGGTATAACGAGCCACAGCCAAATACGTTTGCCGTGTGGTTTTGAACGTGCAGTTCATCTAAACGCAATGGTTGGCTTGGATGTTCGGCACTCGAGGGAGGTGAAGAACGTCATACTAAAAGTGTACGAGGAAGGGGACGATTGGAAGCATGTCTTTTGCACACAGAAGGTGAACGTGAAAACTTGCCGCAACTGAATACGGGCTTACGAATTGACGATACCGTTGGGGCAGCGCGTCGGAGTGCCTTAGATGAGCACCTGGGAGAAAACCACGCCGACTCTCTGGTGCAGTGGGTTTTGGCGGAGCCAACCGTTACCCTTGAACTCCTTCGTTTGCGGTTAAAGGCGGAGTTCGAATTTGCAGAAGTACCAGCACTGTCGCACGATACTTGGATGGTAGATTGATAACAATGAAAAAACTGCACACCATTCCGGAATCCATGAACATGCCGGAGAACAAAGTGACGCAGATCATTCGTTTTGCAGCTCATGGATTACGAGGTAGAAGGAAGGCAACCGGTGTGGATTGATGAGATCAACTTCAACTTATTTTGCTCCCGCACTCGTGGGTGCTCACTACGTGGTAGTCGAGTGCAGTGTCCAGTGGCGAACAGCCGGGGACCGAATGTTCATCTTGTCGGCTTCATGACAAACAACGGCTTGAGAGTGTGTTCAGTTCTGAGAGGAAGTTACAACAAGCAAGGGTGTGCTCAGTGGATGCGACAAGTGCTTGATACCAACGGAGCAGAGTTCGTGGAATAGTGTCTTTTGATTTGTGCCAACGCGCACTGTCACACGCACTTGTAGTACGTTTTCCTTGTTTAAACGTACCGCTCATGGATACTTCTATGCCTTGCACCATAATCTTTAGCTATCAATCTCATGAAAGGCATTTGGAGGATAATAAAATCTCATAAAATGCAGGTGATGGGGTGACGATACTCCGAGATGCTCTTGGTTGATCCTTAAGGAGTTCTGAATCAAAGTAAGCGGTGGATTCGTTTTTGGAGCACGCGGTGTCTTAAGCACGGGCCTTACTGATGTAACAGCACTGTGAACAAATGGTTCAGCATATCAGTAAGAAGTATGGCCGTGTTTATTTGGCCGAACTGTAAAACATTCTGTTGGCAGTAAACTGCCTGTTCTAAGAGAGTGTTGTTCTTGCTTTATTATGATGACAGGTCAGAGTGCACTTTACACCCTACTAGGAATAGTCCATTCACTATTCGGAGGAAGTTCGTGGATTTCCGGTAAGTTGGTGCAGATGGCCGCGTCGCGTACCCATTTTAGTTGCCGGGCTGTAGAACAATCATGTGAGAGCTTGACAAATAGATGCCACTTTAACACGGTTATGTGACAAACAATTATGTTCTACCGTCTGTCGTTAATTGTGTTTGGAGAGTCAGTGGATAAGGATTTTGTTAAGGGCATAATAAATAAGAAACTTGAACTATCCAGACTTGACGGACATGGAAAGTGTATGTGGCTGTTTGCAGGACTGTTTAATCCGTTGCACCAACGCAGGCGGCTGGACGCTGCATGCGAAAACGCAGAGCATGTAGGGCAAGCACAAATAACATTTATCCCGCACTCTACGAAATATTTCCGGATGGGGATTTGTCAGTAGTGGGTTGCCATGAGGTGCTTTGAAGCGGTAAATAAAATGTACTCGCTTCAGCGAATCACATTTACTCCTCAGGTTGTAGCTTCTACATCAGGATGAATGGCTCCGCATGACGCAAACCAGTCCGTAGTCATATGGCATTTGCTATTAGCAAGTGAAAGTTGCTATTTTGCTTTATGCCAATGCTACGTGGTTAAATGATGCCGTTATAGCCGGACATCTGTTGCAATCATTTATCGTGCGTGTTATCGTCATCCTATGGTGCGCTGAGGCTGGTGGTGGCTAGATCCTGACAGATGGCCTACCCACTGCTGCTACGGTCGCGCCATAGTCTCATGTCCTGGGCGCCTCCACGTGGCGACCGCTGGGTGGGAGTTGGGTTTCGCCCTCACCCTGATAAGATCCAGGACACCAATCTGCATGAGTCAGCTAACTGACCAAGTGTGCTAGACCCGCTGCCTTTCGGGTGTTCATTTAATCGAAGACTTTGGCTGAGGACCAGAGTCGTTCTTCTGTTAGGAGTGGGCGCCCTGGCATTATCCTAGTCCATCCTCTTCGGAGGTTAGGAAGTGGTCGATGGCCCTCTTCCCGTAAAACCTAGCCATGGGAGACAACAGGTCTACGGGTTATAAGCTCACAGCTCGATTGGCGTAGAGCACGACCGCCACGCATTGTCTCTGACGGTGGGAGGACACCTCCGGGTGTTCAATGGTTTGCTACTGCCCGCCTCAAGCCAGGCAGCCCCTGGTCAAATTGGTGCAAACCCGCCAAAAACCCACCTGCGTCTGGCCGTGGTCGCAGGCGCGTATCCAATTACGGTCGCAAAACATATAATAATTGTTCCAGTACCTCAAAGGCTGCGTGTGACGGCCGTCAAGCAGATCCCTATCTGTCACTGCAATCACATTCCCGAGCTGGATCTGCTTCCCACTGCCTTGTGAGTCAGGCTATTGAGCCAAAGGCTCCGGGTGGAGACCCTCAAGCAAAACTCCGAAGAACAACGACCACCTCGCGTGCGATTGCCCACCAATGCAATCGTATGCCTGCGCACAAAGCACTCAGCATCGGATGCTGGAAAGTGCGCACACTACTGGACCGGAACTCCAGCGAGCGCCCGGAGCGACGCACTGCACTCGTCGCGATGGAGCTGGCACGCTACAACATCGATATTGCGGCGCTCAGTGAAACCCGGCTCGCTGAGCAAGGTAAGTTGCATGAAGCAGGTGCTGGCTACACATTCTACTGGGAGGGAAACGCCGCCTCAGCTCCACGTAAACATGGGGTCGGATTTCCAATATCTAATCGCCTCCATGGCCAGCTGGTGGGTGAAAAACGGGCATCAGCGGGCGACTGATGACTGTTCGCCTACGACTCGGAAGAGGTAAGTTTGCTACTTTTATAAGCACGTACGGTCCGACCATGTGTTATCCTGATGACACGCGTGATCAATTCTACACTGAGCTATCCTCCGTGATACGGTCTGTGCCGAGGAGCGACCGACTATTTCTGCTAGGTGATTTCAACGCGCGCGTTAGGCGTGATGCATCAGCGTGGACAGATGTTATCGGTGCGCATGGCATTGGCTCAACAAATGCGAACGCTGACAGACTGCTCTCACTGTGTGCCACTCACGGCCTGACGATCACGAACACTCGGTTTGCACTGAGTGCGAATGATATAGCAACTTGGACACACCCACGGAGTGGTCACGCTCATCTGCTCGACTATGTCATCGTACGTCAGCGTGATATGTGTGAAGTGCGCATGACACGTGTACTGCGTGGAGCTGAGTGTGGCACTGATCACAAGTTGGTGCGGACCAAACTATACATATATTTTCGTAAATCAATGTATTGCACTCCTGCCGTGAATCGGCGTAAATGTAACATTCTCTCCCTCGGTACTGTGTCGAAACGCACTGAGCTGGAGAACGCGATGGCTGCACGCCTGTGTGATGTGGATTGCATAGCCACAATGGGCGACCTGTGGCACCACATTCGCGATCAGGTGACAGCTGCTGCCGAGGAGACCATCGGGCGCGCAAACTGTAAGCGGCCTGATTGGTTTGATTAGAACAATGCGACGATTGGCGCATTGGTGTCAGAGAAGAATGCAGCATTTGCTGCACATGTTGCAGACCCCAGTGACTTGGGGAAGAAGAGTCAGTTTCGCAAACTTCGACGGCGACTGGCCCGAGAGCTCCATCGCATAAAAAATGCATGGTAGACGGAGAAGGCCAAGCAGATGGAATGCTACGCCGAACGCCGCCAACACAAGGAATTCTTTGACTCATTGATGGCGGTGTATGGACCGAGATTGGAGCCGCTGAGGACACTGATCGATGGCATCGATCAGGCGCTACCTGCACACAGACTGCAGAAAAAATGCAGATCTGGCGGAAACACCTTGACTGTATCTTGAACAACCGTTCAGAGATCGACTGGCCTATATTGAACGGCCTGAAGCAGCACGATGTGAAGGCGAATCTTGCGGATACGCCGATACTGGATGAGACGCAGAGAGCACTAGCTCAGCTGCGAAACGGCAAATGTGCCGGAGCCGACGGGATCCCGCCCGAAGTATTGAAACACGGCGGACCCGCGTTGTTGAC